AACCTATCCTGGTCCATGGGGTTCTTCTTCCACAGATGTAAGACCCTTACACTTCCCTCATTAAATTTCTCCCTCCCCAACTCTCCAGCCTGTCCGGGTCTCACTGAATGGCAGCACAGCCTCTGGAGCATCAGCCACTCCTCCCAGTTTGGTGTCATCCCCAAACTTGCTGACAGTGCACTCTGCTCCCTCGTCCAGGTTGTTGATGAATATATTGAATAGCACTGCTCCCAGTACCGACCCCTGGGGCACCCCACTAGATCCAGGCCTCCAACTGGACTCTGTCCCATCGACCACAACTCTCTGACTTCTTTCCTTCAACCAGTTCACAACCCATCTCACTACCCAATCATCCAGACCACACTTCCTCAGTTTAGCTATGAGGATGCTATGGGAGACGGTGTCAAATGCTTTACTGAAATCAAGACAGACCACATCCACTGCCTTACCGTCATCAATCCACCTGGTTATGTCCTCATAACAGGCTACTTCCCCTTGGTGAAACCTTGCTATCATATGTTAGTTTCTAAATGCGTATAAGAAAGATTAGTGTGTTCTTTGATATGCTTACAAGATGCATTTTAGATTATTAACTTTGATTCCTCTTTATTTTATTCTCCATTGCAGCAGCAAACGGCTTTGTGAGATGTACCAAGTATCCCTTCTTTGCGAATGGAAGGCGCTATAGGCTTTCGGTGTCCCCAGTCTTCACAGCACACCTGGAAAAATTTCAGGTAAAAGCATCTAGTCCAGGGTAGCTCCTAAATAGAAGAGAAAAATACAAGATACGGGCAGAATTTTCAGTGTCATGCACTTTGGGAAGCTTAGTAGCAAGTGTGAGTCTGCAATGCGCTGCTCTGCTGATCGTCTCATGTTGTGCAGTGTGAAAGCTATTATTTATTTAAAAGGCTGTGCATGTCTTTGGTTGATCAAGTTACACCATTGCTTACCAGAAGGTCTGTGCTAGACAGGAGGCAGATACCGAATTGTCTGTGAAGTGGGTTAATAGTTGACACAACAGCGTTTTCCCACATCACAAAGCACTGTCACATTCACCCCTAACGAGCGGCCTTGCTGATAATCTCAGCAGAGACCCTGCTTGTCGAATGAAACATTTATTCATTCATTATTTCATTCATTCAGCCCACAGAATGACTTCTTTTCCTGTAACGCTACTTTGCGTGCTCATCATATTCTCACTGAAACTGCCTTTTCCTTTCTATGAATAGACTGTAATCAAGTCAGCATTGTGTATATAATCAGGCCTTGATAATTAAAGCATTGACTGGAGTGTTTATGAGATACAGCAGCACTCTTTGCAGGTGTGTAGCACGTCTTGGCATGGAGCTTTATGGAGCGATGCTGCCTGGGGTCACCAGAGATCCCCAAATCCAGTGTGTGTGCATTAAGGAGTGTGGGGGACACCAGTTGCCTGTTGAACTGGGTGGTGTATGCCAGCATTCAGAACTCCTGCTCTTTTCAGTGGTTCAGAAACACAACCACACTGTCCAAAGTATTAAAATATCATCAAGATCCAAGCCATATCTGATCAAGGATATGTTTATCTCCAGTATCAGTCGATTCCTTCAGAGGTACATTAACAGCTGATGTGTAACACACATTTGTTTTTCTTTCCTCAACAGCCCTGTTGTGGGATTTCTAAGAAGACCATTCTGCTGAAAGTAACTCAAGAGATGGAAGATGACGAGGAAAGTGTACAGGACATGATTGAAATTCATTTTCAAAAGCCTAGCAACAGTGGTGGGGAAATAGAGAAAATCAAATATGTATCAAAAGGAATCACATGGGTTTGCTTTGAGGAGGATACTTAGATTGTATAGGAAATTGTAGACTGAACACATGAAGTGCTGAGCTTTTGCTTCATCCGAGGCATAACAAGTTATGCAGATATTGTGCTTTAAATTCTGACATTTCTACTTGAAAAAGACTTGCCTTTCTGGTTTGGGCAATGGCACCAACTTGGCGTAGAAATTCAGTCAAACTCACTTGGTGCTCCAGGGGTCCCTGATTCAAGTCACAGGAAAAGCTTTTACCAGCACTTGAAACTTCATCTTTTGCTTTCTGCAAATTTGCACATTTTTTTATCTTGCAAATTTTAGTCACAAGTGTCTTCACAGACCTGCTTTTTTAAAGTGCCATCGCTTCAGAAGGGAGCTGTGACAGAACTCCGGTCCTGCTGAGGCTGCTCTGTGCCCTCATGACCCAAATACCTGACAGCAGTTACCCTGTAACTTCCTAAAATCCACATGATCAGATTAGTGATAGAACTAAAAAAGGGAAAGTGCAAAACCACCACAGATTTACTCAAGAAATTGTAACTTGTACCAAACACCGTTACTTCTCCTAGGGCCTGGTGCAAATCCTGCTGAGCTTCTGATACGTTAACAGCCTGGTTTACTGTTTGCTTTCAATATTTGTTTCTACCATTACATATTTCCTCATTTTTCTTCATTATTTTGCTTACTTTAAAATATGACAGTGAAGAACTAACATTATTCTTTGTCTGAACCAGATATTGCTTTGTAATGATGCTGGGGAAACTGATGGTGAACGCTGTCTCTGAGGTACCCGCTACCCTTGGGGGCTGAAATGGTTTGGCAACATGGGTCTAGCATTGAAAATAACTTATTTTCATAGTATTTGACAGCTTAGTATGCAGAAAAAAGGACAGTGCACCAAAAAAGTCCAAGAAAAGTACTGAAAATATACCTCAGGTGTTATTATTCCAGAAATACTGTTAATAGGCAGTAGATAGAGTTGAATATAGGAAACTAAAAGGCTGCTAACACCACAGTTGATTTTGAATTTTCTGTTGGGTGAGATACGTGTGACTGTAGCACCTCTTGCTGTTTAGTGCATGCAAAGGCATGGATTGATTACCTGGCAGTTACGGAATAATAATTTTAAAAAGTAGCGATAGTGGAGTGTTCGTGGAGGCGGCACACTTTTGCATGTAAGTCTTAAAATGTTGATGTCTTGAGGGGGAAAGCCTGATGAAGGTAGAAAATGTCATTAATTTTAACTGTATTTCGCTGATCAATTTTGATAAATAAATCCTTCAAAAAGGAAAGTTTACAGCTCACATAATGTATCGCAATGTGTGGGAGCAGTGAGAAGCTACAGGTCTTAAGTATGTAAAATCAAAATGAGACTTTTAAGTAGCATTTTAAGGCAATCAGCATTTATAATCGTCTGTATTTTCTCTCTGAAGTTTACTGTTTAAATTTAAAAGCAGCCGTGGTGAAACCGAAAGCAATAGTCGAGCCACATAAAGGCTGGAAAAGAGTTTTTAAGGTGAAAAAAATAGGGAAGTTCTGTGATGTTTGGATAAAAGGCAGCATCTTTTTTTTCTGCTCACGGAAGCAAATGTATCTGTGACTGAAGTTTGAAGAAAAGCTGTCCTTTCTCATGCCCGTCCTCGGGTCGCCGTGCCCCTGTGGGCCATGGCGGGAGCGGGCCCGTCCCCTTCACTGAGGCGATGGCGGCGGGAGGCGGCGCGGAGGAGCCTCCCCCCCCACCGCAGGGCTCCCGGAGCGCAGGCCGCGCCGTTTCTCTTTCGTTTCATCGCCGAGCCGGGGCGGACCGAGCTCTCCCGCTTCCCGCCGAGAGCCCCGGGCCTGCGCTCGGGAGGCAACCACCTCTGCCGCCTTCCCCCGGACGCCGCAGCTCGGCGGAGCGACCATGGCAAGTGCCTGC